GTTACAGCATTCCCACCCTTGCACACAAATGTGCACAAATGCACACAAACAGATGTTCGTAAATGCACGTGTATGCGCCGTCAGTTTCAGGACTTCAGGAATTATTCACAACAACAACATCCAGGGTACTCTCCTTTTTTTACCTCCAGATCTACTGATCTCTCTGAGATATCTGACAATGCACAGAAATCTGTCATCAGGAACCATGATTACAGATGTTTCAGAGAAGCTTAAGAAAAACCGAGGACTGTTAGTAGTTATAAAAAGACATGCTGAGGAATCCATCTGAAGACAATGACAGACTAGGTTGACAGGGCTTCTGTTCATATTTCTGCCCTGGTAATGTGTTGGAAAGAGAGCATCTGTGTGGGTGTCACTTCATGCTGCAGGCACTGCAACTTTAACTTTTAAGGCTTTGTAATTTGAGAGCTTGAAAAATTGAAGGGGGGAGGGTACTTTGTGATTTTGTCGACAACCCTGCGGCATCATTAAAGCACTATTATGTGTGGTAAACAAACACTTGGAGAGATAAAACAGAAAGCGAGGGAGACAGGGAGACAGAACAAAGAGAATTAAATATGGACAAGCAGTGATTGAACACACAGCTGCTTGTGTGTTTTTTTGTTTTATCTTAAGTATCTTTTGAATTAATTTGCTTTTTATTAGAAATAAATTCAAATGTCATGGCTGGAAGCTGGTTTGTCTGACAAAATTTAGGCCATGGACAGAGTATTGTGTCTCAAGGGTCTGTAGTATAATGCCATCTTTACTCAGTAATAACATGAGTAATCAAGCAGCCGTTATCATCATGTTTCACATGTTTCATTACTATTATCATGTTTCACACTGTCAATGAAACCTTTACTTGAGTCAATATGTAATAAGTCTTGTAATCTTTCCTACGAGGGTAGAGGGAGAATAAGCTTTTGTAGTCTCTTGACACCCACCATTTTTGAGTGTTCATCTCACTATACTGGATAAAAAAACTCAGTTCTTCTCCTTTTCTCCTAACTCTATGATTCCACAGCGAGTGGGTGCACCAAATTTTGTAAGCATCATGAAGTGCACTGCATTTATTTATATGGACAGGGAAATTAGCTATTCAGACCAATACTGTTTTATGAACCAAGCTGTAAACATGTTTATTTTTGCTGTAGAGATGGGCTTTTTGAAATGGGTGTGTGCAACCTCCAGAGCATTTGCAGCCATACAGCCTCAGATTGACACCTGAGAAACTACATTTTTTAGTACTACTGCATTGACTTAATTCCTCAAAACTGGAGGTTACTGATCAAAGCAGTTTCATACCTCGATAGCAAACTTATTTATCATTAGTTAAATATCAGTGTATTTATTGATACATTCCTGCTGAGACAAAGGCACTTGTGTGGTAGATGCTTGTTTGTGTCCCACAAAGGACCAAAAACTTCAGACAGCACAAAGTTTGGCATTAGTTGCAAATGAACTTGCACCAAAGTTTGTGCCATGAGTAAATTTGTTGTAAAATGCAATATGCTGAAGTGCACTGATGGCACTATGCTGCCTCAATGCAGAAAGGAATTGCACCATAGACTAAAACAAAGTTGGTCTAAAGTCTGTATCACTTACTTGTCATTTAGAGGGTGTATGAGTGAGACAGTAGGATGGCAATAAGAGTGTACAAATGTCCTCCATCTGCTTGTGCAGAGAAGCACACCAGTGCTCTCACTTATAGGGAAATGAAACTTAAACTAATAATATGAAATTAAGTTTTTGATGGAAATTTAAGACAGGAACAGATCGCTTGGAGTCGGTATGTTAATTCATTGATTTATCTTTCCTTTTCTCTCACATCATGGGATACCAATGCAGTATGTGAAAGACAGGAGTGAAATATGCTGGCTAAGTTCTAGCTATATTCATTGAAGGGTTAAAATCTGCTTGGTAATGTTTCTGTCTGCAGGTGTATCTATTTTCAATGTATGTATGTATTTTCAATGTCTAAAACTCAGGGTATAAGGCACGAGGAAAGTCCGGTTGGCTGGCTGACTGTTGTGTGGGCTGGAGACACTGTGGACAAGCAGAAGAGAATGAGGTTAGAAATCATACGAGGTATCACAGGGAGCAAAAATCACGAGAAATTAGCCGAGGAAAAGGCCAGGAGAAGCGTCTGTACCGCTCAGGAGCGAAGACAACACTCAGGCGCTGAGACTGAGGGCTGCTGGCTTCTTAAAGGGCCTTGATTGCAAATGCAGCGCAGGTGTTTAACAGGAAGTTAAACCAAAATAATGCAGGAAGTGGAGGCGTCTCACCATAATAAGAACTGACATGCTGATTGTATCAAGTAATATATACATACATATCAACATACCTATGAAAGCTCAAAGATCATTCCAAGCTAAAGGTATAACAAATCATGCCCTAATTTACCTTGCACTTTACGCATTAGACTGTAAATCTGGATCATTTTATAATGCCTTAATGTTTTATAACATACAGGGTTTTTTTAATCCATAAAGGCATTTTTTTAATTAAATATCTGCCATAAAACAACTCTGTTAATCAGTCATCAATTAATTGATATATTTCAATTAAGTATGAAACTGGTGTGAAAGTGTGAAATTCATCATTGAATGAATTTCACACAATAATCCACTTTTTGGATTATTATCCACTTTTCTGTCTGTTGTAATCCAACCAATAGATTAATTTTTGGGAATTTATGTGGCTGAAGGCTACGACGGAGTATTCGGGCCACATTGAGAAAAAAAAATAGACTTTGTAATTGCTTACAAGAATCAAGTCATGGTAAAATCATTACTTACGAGAATGAAGTTGTAATAAATTATTTACTTATGAGAATAAAGTCGTTATAAAACCATCACTTAAGAGAACAAAGCCGTAGCTAATAGCTATCCTAACCTGTTGTTAGTTGTTTAAATGAGCACTGTGGAGCATTAAGATGAATTGAACTTCAGTAGCTAGGTTTCACAAACAAGGAGATCAATCCTTTGGCATTTCAGCATAATATTGTCATAAGTATTGGGATATATGCAAGAAATGCATCTTATCTGCAGAAGGAACCTGGCGGACTTGTAGGGAATTGTTGTTTTTGAGGAGGGGGAAATGGCTGTGCAGAGACTAAATCCCTCAATGCAGCCATTTATAGCAATAGCTTATCATATGAATCAATATGTCATAAGGTGTTGGTGCCTCAGTGGTGTAAGTTGCTGCCGGTGCTGTGCCGGCATCAGAGACAGCAAGGTGCTTGTTGGAGCTCGACTCTCTCTGAATTGCAAATGATGATCATCAGTTGGATTGATTCCTGAGAAACCATGAGAGCCCTCTGAATGGCCCACTGATGCATCCACTGACAACTCTGCAGTTGACCAGTTTTATCCATTTCCTCCTCCACAAAAGCATTGTGACTTAATTTACTTTGACTTTATTCTCGTAAGAAATGATTTAATTACGACTTTATTTTAATGTGGCCCTAATACTCCATTGTAGAAGACAGCAAGCATTCATATTTTTTAAGATGTGCATACTTCAATCTGAACCAAGCTCACCATATGTAACTGGGGTCAAGGCCTGGACATATTTATATAATATTATCTCATCCCAGTTATTGCACCTTATGGCGGCAGTAGTAAATGTCATGATGTCACTTTGTAAATTGAATCTCATAGTCTGTCAAACATATCTGCATCATTTTTGCCCAAAATATCATAGAGATGTTGATCTTAATGTGTGATGAAAAGTGTGAATTTTTTCCAAGGGACATAGTAAGCTAATTTTGGTTTTGACATTATGCCACGCTATAGAATTTAAAACTGCTCTAGCTCGGCCTATCTGCACACACACACACACACACACACACACACACACACACACACACACACACACACACACACACACACACACACACACACACACACACACTAAACATCTGCCTCATCCAGACATGCATTAGTCCCCAACATGTGCAAATGTGCCAGGGCCCACTCAATGCAGCTTTTTTTGTTTGTTTGTTTTCTCTTACTTTTATGGTTTAAATGCCAGAATTTCTCCAGCATTTTGCACAACCTTACTACAAAAATAAAGAATCTGCCAGTGACATGACATGCTGGCATTCCTAGGGTGGAAAAGCCTCGCAAAATTTCTCTAGCTGTAAAAACAGTTCTCAAGAACGAGTCTGAGTTTGAATACTCTTAAACAGTGGGTCTTGATAAGTTGTTCTTGCTACATTAACAGGTCAAACAGGTACTGCAATGCCCCAACCCAGTAAGAGGAAGTTTCTCTAAACCATCCCATCATAGCCTAGCTACTAGACCAATGCAGCTGAAAATGTTCTTCCAGTAGAAATATGCTGTCACTTTTCCTAATAGCAAATATAGCTGCTTGTAATAAAGATCTGAGGCTCTGTTAAGGGTAAAACTTAAGGACAGGATTTTCCCTTTTTTGCATGAAACTTGAGTGTATCTGTCATTTATTCAATGTGAGTGACTCACCATGGACTGGTTATTAACCCCATATGACCCTCAACCGAGTCCAGCTGTGTTAGACCCATCAGTAACTTGGACTACAAAGCAAGAGTGAGCCTATAGATGATCTGTTTGTGCTTGAAGTATAAACTCCTATGCCATTTTAAATAACACTCCATATGACGTCAAAACAACTCAGATAAGTATAAGCCATCTGTATAGCTCTGTTAGTATTTCAAAAACAAAACAAAACAAAAAAAAAGTTAAACTTCCTCAGACCTTTACATGCCAGAGTAGGGAGTTGAATTTATAATAAATATCCTGAAATAATAATCTTAAATTATGACATTTATGCACTCATTAAAAGGGGCATCACCCACCCTGGATGGTGGAAAAAAGAAAGAGAACAAGGTTTAATTAAGTAATCAAACATTGACTCTATTGAAATGGGAGGTTTGCCTATTTATTTGATGACGGTTCTCAAAAGATGCCCTTGGAGTGGGTCGGCTGAAGGTCGGAGCTACAGGTGGTTTTGGTGGAATCAGCTGGTAGTTGTCAGCCAAACGGATGTCTCACAAGCACACACCACCAGCACCCGAATGGATCCCTCAGCACTCCTCTCTTGGAACCTTGTGGCAAACGCGGGCTCAGAAGATGGTTCGGGTCAGCCCGTCTGGCATTCGGAGTTAGCTTTAGTGCAGATTAATTCGCAACAATAAATAATTTCACTGGCCAGCCGATATTATCTTCAAGAGTCACTTTAATGAACTACACAAAATAACAAACTTAGACTTTGGTAATTTAAGCATGCAGGGAATTACTTATGACAGTCGAGAAACTCAGGTAGTTGCATCAAAGTTTCTGGTAACAGGCTAAAAACCTAAGGTGAATAAAAATGCATAAAAAGATACACTAAACGAGGACAGGACACACAAGAAACGAATAAAGACAAAAAAAAAAAAAAAAAGAGCAGAGCTGGAACAGAGTAAACTCAAAGCTGTTAAGCTGTCCGAGTACGGCATGAACTCAACTAGAGGAGGGTCAATTGATCCACCCACTGTTCACAACTCGGCCTGATCAACCTGGCAGGCAAATTAGTTTTAACTTGCGGGATCAATAAGCAAGTTAGATCTATTTCACTTACTCACTGTGGTTAATGCTGTTGATCAAGCTACACATCAGCAGTGTGTCAGAGGACCAACATTTGTATGATGTTGATAATACTTTTACATTTAATTACTGCTATTTTGCAGTAAAGACAACGGAGGAGATAACAATAGAGAGTGGTATACCACATATAATGGTAATGATAATCAAAACAGCCACCTGGGTGACAGCATGAGTGACATTGACAATGATCAGGAGGAAGTGGATGGAAATCAATAAAACAACCTACCTCTTCAGGTGATATCAGATTTTTCAGCCAGTGACAGCTCTTCCTCCACTCTCTCCCTTAACATTACCCAATCTGCAGACGACAGGAATTGTCCCATCACTTCTGCTGAATGGGCAACCATTTCAGGGGATCAGTTGTATGTCAAAGGAAACTTTTGCTGCCAAAGCAGCACCTTTCAGAACATATGAGCCCTGCAAAATGAATGAATCGTCCCGTCCTCCCCATCCCTTTTCGCTCATCTCATTCTTTTCATTCCCTAGCGCTGCAGAAGGAGCCGTGCTTCTGTGAACAGTTTGAGTGATGAGAGAGATAAGTGGCAGAGATGTTTTGGAGGTGGGGACTTGGAGAGAGCAGAAGTGTGTGCTTGTATACGTGTAAGGGCGTTAAGGTGTGTGTTAAAGGGACTGAGGCAAGGAGAGAGAATATGAGAGACTGAAGGTGACAGACGTCAGAAGTCTGACGATGAAGAACATGATAAGCAGTCTTCCTGCCATTCATATGTACAGACCATGACATCTATCGAGCCAAATGCTGAAACCACAATTGCTTGTACAAGCAGAGTCCAGAATTTCTATTAAAAAACTGAGAACAGGCAAACTAAGAACTATCACCATCTTTCTCTGCCTCAGCCTAATACACTTTTTAAAAGGCCTTAACTTTGCTTAAAGGCACACTACACTTCTCTCCAGACGATTTTTCATCTACTTTCATACACATACATGTATTGCATTCTTGGTGACCAGAAGATTTGGAGGTCAGGACCTATTAATTTGAATTCTTTTCCATTTTGCTACAGCAGGATAGTGTGTTTTCTGTGTGAAATGAGTCATCCACAAACCACAGAATAAAATCATACATATATCATACATACTATACATACATTTTTTTAAACATATCATTTCCTTCATTATACATATAATAGTATTTTAACTACACATAGTATTAGTATACAAAATAGCAACTTGTCATAAGAGTGCACCCCCCCCCCCCTTCATTTATCTGATTAATCCATATATACTCACATACTGAATCAAATGCTGTAAACTTGCATGTGTATGTATAAGAGTGTGTAGGTGCATGTATGTCTTTTAAATGTAACCCTGTTGTATTTCTATTTTTTAGAAAAATTCTGTTGTATATACCCTGTATAATGACACACAACTATCTATCCTGTTCTGTTTTTTTCTGCAAAACTCAGGGATATCAGTCCAGATGCCCTGCACTGTTTTGTCTAGGTTAGCATCCAGGTCCTATTTTTATAAATTTTCAAATGGTTGATGAAGTTAAGGCAACAAAGCAGGTCTTCAACACTTGCCCAATAGTTAGAAAATTTTAAGAAAATGATGCGGTTGCAAATACCTTTTCATGTTTTGTGACATGTTATGTCCACTTCTCGTCTCTGTTTCCTTCTCTGTAATGGGGTGTTCACACCAAACGCGACTTTGGCGACGTCGGCAACGGCTCCCAATGCAAAGTCTATGGACAGCAGCGACTTGGCGACCGCCGGCTGCCTGCGACGCGACCTGACGCGACTTGGCGACTGGTCGCTCCCAAAGTTCAAATATTTGAACTTTGGGAGCGAATATCCGCGACTCCATGCCACGACAGCCAATCAGGGCTCTGCAGATGTATATATGAGGAAGAAAAGGAGGGAGAAGGAAGGTGGGAGAAGCGGGTCAGCGGCGACCAGCCGCGACCTGCGACTGCAGCTTTGGACCCGCTGTGAACACACCAGGGCGCCACGCGACGTGACCGACCAACGCGATGGGACTGAGATTTCTAAAGACAAATAGCAGTCCAGAGAAGAAATCAGCTTGGATTGGAGTGTGGTGATGTACTGGCCAACCCTGCTTCAGACCTGCGGGGGCTTTTATCTTCTCTATTTGGCAGGCAATATTCAAAGTTTTACCTCCAACTTGGTGTGAGTATTGTAACTGGACAAGGTATGAAACAATTTTAGTATGATTGGGAGCTCATGGCACAGGATTGTTAGACATGCACCATACCCGCTAATATAAGTCTAATGAATTGAAAATCTCTTCCTTAAACACACACAACTATTTGAGAGGTGTATGATGACATCTAATGTTTTGATGGGGTTTGTCAAGGTTCTGAGGTATTGACTTTAACCGTGTGTGACTGTTTAGCATGTTAACCCTCTGTACAATCATTAGAGGCTATTTTAATTTGAAAGCAGATATTTGATAGAATACTTCCATTTTGGTACCAATCTGATATGATAACACTAACTGCATGATTTTAATACTTCTTTCTGTGAATTCATCTTCTGCATCAGACAGTTTGGAGCATCTTTTTCTGCAGACACAGGTTCACCCCAGGAGGTCTGCGTGTGCCTATAAAGTGCATACAGCTGTGCAGTCATGAGAATTAAGATGCTATAGGCCCTCTGTTCTCACATTCTGTTAGTCATTATGACCTTCGTTCACTTTTCCTCTAGTTTCTGTCTGTTAACAGGTCTTGATGTGTTTCTTTTTTTCAAGTTTAGGGAATTTAAAGCGTATTGTACCTGTGTTTTAAGTGCAGCCCTGCACTGCATCTTGTCCTGTTCAGAGTGAGGATGATGGCAGCCTAGTCTGCTTGATGTCCTTTCAGTTATAATATCCAAAAAGTAAATGATAAACAAAAAGTCCAAATAAAAAATAAAAACTTGTTAAAAGTAAAAAACAACAACAACAAACAAACAAACAAAAAAACTAAAAGCACTGGAAGATGAGAAACAACCGGAGGAGACCGTTGGTGCACAGACAACACAGAGACACATACAATAGAGACACAGAAGGAGGGAAGACAGAGACCACATATACACATTGGTAACGAGCAACAGATGGGAAAGAAAGACAGGTGAAACTAATGAGTCATCAAATAAGGAGGGGGAAACCAAGGACATGAAATTAGACTTAATATTAGGGATTGGACAACAAAAGATAACAATAGAAACCAGGAACTTGTAATATGTCACAGAAATAACCAAACATAAATTAACAGTGCACACACAGGAAACAGGAACACGAGAGAAATAACTATGGGTTGTTTTTGAAAATGTGAACACAACCTCAACATAATTCACAGATCAATCTTCTCTTGCTTGCAGTGTGGGCACTACATTGAATGACACAAAAAACCATGGAGACAAAGTACAGTTATACATCTGTGTCAAGCAGTTATAAGCATATTTACATTAATATGTTTATAAAACTAGGGTATTACATTCATCTTCATGGATCTGAGATGGGATTAGCTCCTCAAACTGGAAATTCTGGTATTGCTCTTAAAGCTCTTTGGGGACAAATTCTTTGTAGTAACTCCCCCAACAACACTACAGCACTCCTTGAACCTTTTCAGGCCAATGAACTGATTTCTTAAAGTATCATTGCTCCCAGCAATAGCAATGGTCTTATACTTTTTTTTTTTTGGCTTTAGAAAACGTTACATGACCAACAGGAGCAACAAGAATCTAGAAAATCATAGAAATTGTGATAATAACCTATTGCTCTACAAAGTGAAAATGAAATTGTTTAAACAACCTCCTATGTTTTAAGGAAAAATAAAGATGAAATTTCATAAAACCTAAGAAAGGCATTAAAAAAAAAGGTTGTGAAATGTACTACTGATGAGGCACGGCAAGAGCTTTGCTTGACAGGGTCCATTCTGTTGCTTAGTTCCTGACCCCATCTGAATTTCCTGCTTTACTGTGACCTATTATTCTCTATACCCCAGACCTTTGCTTGTGCTGAGCAATGGTCTGAAAATATTTAGAGATCCAACAATACCCATTAATCTTGATTCTTTTATTTGGAAAGTTTGGCTTCTTTCAGTGACCTGTACATTGCTTTTTTTTCAGAGCTGGAATCCTCTGCTCTGTGGGCTCAAATAAAACAGATATTCCAGCCTGCAAAGCTGTGTGCACAGCAAAGCAGAGGAGTGGTTGGTGACACTTTTCAAGCAGAGTGAATGGTCAGATTAACTAACTAACTACTGGCAAAAAAAAAAAGCATGAATGCATAGCAGAGGGCTTTTACCAATGTAAATCTGCATGTCTTCTGGGGCTGCAGCCCATTAGAAGGAAACACCAAGCAGAAGCTGTCATTTTAACTTTATGTCAGCATGACAGAACATAGAGAGACAAAAGGAAAAAAATGAAGTCAGTAAAAGAACAAAGAAAAAATAAAACTAAACAAGGACAAAAAAGCATTTGAGGGATGCTTGACCTCTCATGTCCTCTGCAACTTTTGCAATACTGCACGCAACACTAACACACACTTGGCAAACACACAGACTCAACAACATAGCAACATATCAGCACATGATGAGCCGTGACAGTGGCCAAAGGATGATGGTTTAACGGCACAAGCATTAGTTCCTCTTTAAACTGAAACAAGACAGTGTTAATACATTTCCAAAAGCATGCATATTGTTAAAGCGACACTGAACTACTGTAGCTGTTTATGGCACCTCTTCGATTCTATTGAATAACGATTGTATCATGATTCTCGGTTGCTGATTCAATTCAAGGACAATATCAGTTACTTCAGAACAATACAACCCAAAACAATTCAGTAACTTGAAATCGATTAATACTGGACAGTGCAGGTGAAATTTTAGATTGCTGTTGTTTCTTGTAAGGAAATCCGGTATAAATTAATTATGGTTACAAACAAAGACGTATACAACAATTAATAGCAAATGCATTCACAATTTATGAGTTTAAACGGTGAACTTGCATATATATTTCCAATATAACAGTCAAAAGAAACCACTTGTGCTTTTGAGGTAAAGACAGGAACTGATGGCTGAATCCATAAGTTATAAAATTAGATGCTATCCTTTTATCAGAGGAACAAAAATTGGAAATAATGAACACTGTATTGGCTTTTTTGCTCATGTTATTTGCCTTTTCTTTGAGACTTGGCCTAGTTCTGGTGAACATTCAAAACTTTTGGAGTCTTTTGGAAAAACTCTAGCCCATAAAGTGGAAAATATCCTAAAAGGACTGAAAGAATGAGTCCACACATGGAAATACATTACATACTTCTCTCTATGGCTTGATATATGTGGGAATAAGGTCTGCCCAAATGACTTTGTCCCAGGGAAGTGCATTCCAGTTTTAGCATCCAAATCAGAATCTCATTGAAGATGGTCAGACTTTTGTTTCTCTGAAATTGGTCATATGCATTTTAGCAAAGCTGAAGATAGAAGACACGTGCAATTTATGTTGATATATGTTTTTTGTAG